ATGCCAGAAATTATCTCTTGAATAATATCGGCTGATACCGCCAGCCGTTATGAATAATCAATCGTTTCCTGAGGAATTGCGAAACTTCAAACTCGGAATTAGTCCAATACATCTGAAGCTCAAGGTTAAATTAAATCGGATGTCAGTGAATTTCAATTGAAAATTTGAGGAATCATTTGAAAGATATATTTACAATATTCTAATTTAATTAGAATTATTTTAATGATTCTCAATTTTCAAGTCCACGTGACCCGGAAAATACGAAAAACTCGATAAATAATTTTCAGGAATTTTTCATCTGTTCGAAATTTAATTGCATTTAATGTTCAATTTTCAGGATAAGCGGAAAATTCAAACTTTTATCGAAAGATAAATTCTCTACGAGGGGCTGAATGCAGATATGAATAATCTCGATAAACAATCGATCATTCCACTGACTCTTTGATTTTCGAAAAAATCCGGGGATTATTAGATGGAACAATTGATCGACATGAGCTTCAAGTTCATGTTCACCGAGAAGAAAACCGGATGTGGTCCACTTTGATGAATAGTACGGAGAATAACATGAGTAAAGGCACGTGATGATGGATAATCTTAATGGATTATTCCTTCGGTTTTATAATTTTTTAACGAACAGTAGGAATATTCAATTAAAAAAGAATTAATGACATACCGATTTTTCAATATGTTCCGTTCCCTGAGAATCCACGGAACATTTCAATTGAAACAACAATCGGAATGAACGGAATAAAAATTATGTAGAACAAGACGAATACACAACGGCAGAGACATACGCCTGATCTCAATACATAATCAATCGTTCGTGTCTTATTTCCCGGGGGAATGAAAATCGTCTACCCCAAAAAATCATCAGCCCAAACCTGAAGTTCAAGTTTCGCGTGAACCTCGATTCAATTATCTCACGGAAAAAAGTACAAAAAGAACAGAAAGTTATACACCCAGAGATCGATAATCTCAGAGAATTCATTTCTCATAGAGTGATTCAAAGAAAAATCTGAGCGAAATAATCCTGAAGTTCAAGTTGATCACGAAAAGAACTCAAAGTAGTTCACTTCAACGAAAGAATATGCAGAACACGAATGCAGATATCGCTGGTCTCGATGCATAATCAATTATTCTGCTCTTATTCTGCTCTCATTCCCCACACCTCCCCCAAATGTACTAAGCAAATATTTTTTCTCATAACTACACCTTGACGCCTACGAATAACCTCATGGATAAAAAATCTAGCAAAAGAAAATATCTGCCACCGCGAAAAGAAAACATTCCTCAAACCACTTTCTACTCCCCCCGAATTCAAATTGATTAAATTCAATCAAAAAATTTAGGATTTAATTTTCAAAACTATCGACTGAATTCACTCAAAAAATTTGATTTAACAAATTTTTTTTGTCAATATTAAAAAACAGTTCCGCATTGGTAAAAATAATTTCGCGTAGTAGGGGCTTGAATGATTAATATTCATATTGTAAAATGCGAGAAAAGCCCTAAACTCAAGCTCCATCTTGCAAAAACCCCCGGGCACCTGTACAAACCGTATTTCGCCATAAAAACTGTCTGTCCGACATGAAGAAAAAAAAAAGCCATAAAGAATAACACAAGTGCGTGCACACAAGTATCTCAGTACCAGTCGCGTCGTACCTGACATTCTTATCTAATCATATTCAGTCATTGAGTAGGGGAAAAACTACGACTTATCGAGTTCCACGGGGACAACATCATCGGGCAAAAAAAAAAAAATAAGTACTCCCCAGAAAATAAAAATATCGCATAAATAACTCGGGTTTAAACGCAGCGGCATAAAAATCCGTTGAATTTCGCATTAATCCGGGGTGTACACGCAGCCCCCCATGTACTTTATTTTCGGCAATCCAGTCCCCCGGGTGGATTTACGGCCCTCAAAAAGGCCTCGCGGCTGAATTAAAAATAAGAGATAAATAAAAATGATACGTATGGTGTACCTCGCCGGTGGAGAAGTGGCCGTTCATCTTGCCGTCACCTCTGGTAGCGCATTACCACTCCTGGACCAATTCCTGGTTATCAGACTCCAAAAAATCACTCACTAACAATTCAAGGTCATTGCATTGAAACTAAACACCGAGGCACTATCACACTGTACATAATGCACGACTGATTCTCGACCACGACCTATCAGTTTCACTGTTTCCACATGATTCCGGGTACTTGTTCGAGGTTTCAGTTTAATTCTTCGAGTTAGAATGAAAGAATCACTTCACGCACATTTCACGATGGTACCAGGAGTCGGAGGGATGGTTTGACGGGGTCCAGGGGTTCCAGGAAGGTCCAGGAATTTCCGGCGAAGATCTGGGAAATTCCAGTGGGTGCCAGGGAGCTCCAGGCGGTTCCAGGGGGTTCCAGATTGTTGAGAAGGTCTGGGTAACCTGGGGGATTTGACCATTAATGATTATTCGATGATTCTTGGAGCGTTGTGGGGGCACGTCCAGACGGTTAGAGCGCCGTTTGCAGACTGGATTGGTCGAGGCTCGTGCGAACCAGAGAGCATCGTTTTCTATCGCCGCAGGTACACGGCAACTCTCGGATCTGAGATTGAAGCTGTCTCGGTGACTCCACGAAAAATCACCTCATCATCACCTGAATATATGTAAATCAGGGTAAATAGACAGGGAAGGGGGCGATGTAAGTGGACTTCCTTTTTCCTTGATACCGTTGATCGTCTCGAGGACACGAAAAGTCACACCTGGGCGTATTATACCTGGAGTTCTAGCTACTGGAGGTCTGGTTTACCCGGTTCTTGCTTCACTGTTTACGATAAATCGGATGGGAGAAGTTATCCTGGACCAACTCCATGCCCATCCGGGGTTAACCCCGCGTATGGAGTTGAGCCAAGTTGGGTGATGCTTCCCTCGTTCTTAGGTTGGACAACATCTTGGGTGAGATGTGAGCCGGTGTTAACTCCTGGAGGTGAGCACGGTCGATGCACTTGTGAGAGAGGATAATGTGCAGCTGTGGAACTCCTCCCTGTGGTGGCTGTTTCAATACAATCGGACCCTCTGTTGCATCAACACTCGGAAAAAATTCCACTTTTTGCGAAAGCCGAGAACTGGGGAAAAGTATTCACACGAGGAATTTTTTTGATTGAATTTTTCCTCATGATCAGTCCGAATTGAAGAAATTCGTAGGAAATATGAGTGAAAATTTTCTGATGTTGAGACGAAATCGTGAAAAATTAAAATTCTTTTTAGATACGATAATTCCGAGTTCACTTGTATGAAGAAGATATGAATTCTTTCTCTATGGAAATTTCTGGGGATCTTGACTCGTTTTTTATTGCAAACGATTTGAAAATTCCTAGAATATCGAATTTTCATATTTTTGCAATGAAAAAAAAAATGGCATTTGGCCATTTCAATAGCTCTCATCCCAAAATCGATTTAAATACCGCAGATCCTGAGAGAAACTCTCACACATTCTCTAAAAATTTGGTGGTTTCCACGAATGATTGAGTTCCTTCATCCACTCGTCGCAGTGACAATTCATCGGGTTGAGAGGTCACGGCAAAGAGTCACGCGGATAATTTGCATTTTTTTTCCATTGGCATTTCGTATAATTTGAATTGACATCGACACAGTTCTTTGCTGCGTGAAAAAGCGGCGTTCTGTCATCTTCAATTAAATCTTTTCCATCCTGCGGAGGTGGAGATCATCCCGCGGATAATGTACGTAATTGATGTTTCGGGTTTTACGGGAGAGTTAATAAAATTATAATGAATGAATGACTGAGTGAATTGTGCATGGAATATCGTGTTGTCACGTGTAATAACTGTCAGAGGAGTCAAAGAGTTTGTCAGTTTTCCACGGTGTTGAAAAGGCGAGGCTGTTACACCGGTAGAATGTACCGTGTCGTGTCCACCCGTTTCACATACACTTGGACCTTCGGCGTTTATTTCCCCTCGTATGCCTTCAGGCTTTTCTCATTTACTCTCTTTCTCTTTTCCCCATTCTAACTCTGTTCGATAACTTCGAGAGAATGAGGGAATGAGTTTCTGCGGCTCGAGTCGCGTGCGTCCATACGGGGATAACACTCCGTTCCATGGTCTATCCTTTTTCTAGGCTTCTAAGAATATCTTCGAAAGTTTGATGGATAGCTATTCGAAACGTTTAGAAATTTTTGAAATTTCATTTTGAAAGATAAATTTTCTGTACCGAACAGTTGTTCGTTACGAGATCTAGTGCGCAGTTCGTCCCCCCAATTTGAATTTTATGATGAATTCAATTTCCTATTTGTTAATATTAATATTTCGATGTGGAAGAACTTCATCTTTATCAGAATAATATAAAAATTCAATTATCTTGATTTCAATTGAATTTCACATGAAAATGTCGCATTCATCTTGAAAATTAGATTAAATGAAAATAAATTATTAATTATCTGTAGATTGAAAATTCCGGGAATTTCCACGTATTTTCAAGATTTTCCGCGTTTGTTAATTGATAATTAGAAATTAATAATCCTACAGCTACTCCACGTGATTTTACGATAGACTTCTGAGACACCGATAAATTTTTTTTTGAAAAATCAATCAGTGAGAGGATGATTAAATGATCACCGAGGGTTGATGACGATTTTTCCCTATGGTTTTGTCGCTTAATCTAGTGATCATTGAATTCGATTGAACGTGCGATGATGGGACATGTCCCACCGCCTCTCGTCATTAGGAATAATCATCGTATTACATCCCATCGCGCGATGATGATTCGGCATTCACCAGAGTACTGGGGCGACGGCGATGATGATGATAAAATACCGAGAATTCTCCGTTAGACTTTACACGGTGTAAAGGGATTCTACGAATGCACGTGCGCGACACCGGATGAACCCGGGGTACTTGGGTAACGATCTGTGTCCCCAGGGGACAACTTTATGAGGAACATCATCGTCCCCATAAGCCCCCCGAACCGTCTAATTTTGGTAAAAATAGAATCAAGAATTGGGCTTACCTTGTCCTCGCAGGTCTTGTGGCAGAGGTATTTGCAGACTGTAACAGAAAAAAATCGAGATTACCTAATGAGAGACAAGTTCATTTAAAAAAATGCTAATGAGCGGAACAAGTGTTCTCGGAGAGATTTGAATCTGATTTATGGAACATTGATGCACTCTAGGGGGCACACACCACGACTCACTGCGGGTTTTTAATCAATGGTAAGGAAGACTAAGAATTTATCGGCTTACCTCGACAGCAGGATGCCTGCTTTATCATCGGCTGGTGACATAGGTGACATGGTCGCGGCTTTCGGAGTGGCTTCGTTCGAAATATATGACATTGCGGCTCGAAATCAGTCTGTAACAGAAATTACACACAAATCAATTAATTAAATGATATTCGTAATATTAATTCTGATAATTAAAGCGCTTCTCATATTAAGTGGAGATTTTCTTTTTTAACTTTCAACGCAGTTGAAGCTAATTATCAGTATTAGTTCTGCGAAATTTTAATTATGAAAAAATTACGCGACTTTTGTGAATATTTGCGGTTTTATTATCGCGTAATTTCCTCATTAATCCCATCCTTATCGTATATCATCCCCCTCCATGTCATGCTCATCAAATCATTATAAATATCAATTAACTGAAATAGAAATTGAAATTGATTGTCTCTATGTGAGGCGACCCATTTTCTTCAATGGAAAATTCATCTTCCCCTGGAAGTTTGACTCTCAAGTTTTCCAAGGAACATTCACCGAGGATTAACGACGAGGGCAAGGGATAAAAGTTGAACTTTCAAAAACGCGAACATAGAGACTGGACACGAAAAGACATGTTACGTATGTACAAGAGAAATACTTGGATCTACAGGGGAGGTGTTTTGGTATGCGAAAAAGCCCTCGGCGCTCGGTGATTCTAAGATTTGCAGCTCCGATTACACGCACGCGATCATCCTGCTAGGCTTGGAGACTATTCTTTCTCCTCTCGTGTCTTATCTCCTGGAATATACACCAGGAAACAAACGAGTGTACCCGGAGAGTAGGCGGAAGAAAATGCCCAGCTACCAGCCTTCACTCTGCAATTCACATCCCAAAGCATGTGCTCATGCATTTTTTTTTTTGCCCTCCAATCCCCTATTTTCTCCCTCGGCTAACAAAATCCGCGAGCCCACAAAAAAAAATATTTATCACACCCCCGAAAAAATCGATAGGTTTTAAAAATTATTGACCCCCACATGATTTCCTTTTTTGAAATTCGGATGCACGTCGATAACTCAATTTTAGCGAAAACGTTCGATTATTGAGGGGGAAATACTTGCGAATTAGATATCAGCGCTTTAATAGAAAATAAATACCCCACGCAATGTGCAGGAATTTTCCGAATTTTCTTTCCGAATCGAATTTTTGTAATCAATCATTTCCGATTTCCGCATTCAATCAATAAATACCCCACTGACTCGAGTTTTCCGCATGATACAATATTATAAACTATGAAAATTTAAAATTTCCAGTAAATACGTATATATGTATATATATATGTAGATACGTATATAAAAATCGTGGAATTAAGGGACTTCCCCGAAAGTAAGAGCTATTATTCAAAATTGATGTGGTCAATGATTAATTTTTTTCCGTTCAATTTATTTTCCATCGTCTTGCTGACAAAATCCTTTTGGCACGGGTCAGCGCAATTTTTCTTCGTCCCGAGAAAGAAATAATGAGAGCCGCATAATAAATAGCGAGATAAATCATTACGAGTGGGCGTCACCGAATCATGGGGCGTCTGGTCTCGCATGAACAGTTTTTGATGTACACTCGAGAGGTTGAGATGGTTTTTTCGAGTGGAATGAGAGGCGAAACCCATGTGAACTGCAAAAATCATTGGAGAACGCACTGGCGCCCATCTCCCACTACTAAATGGAGACTACTCGAACAGAGGCTCGCTTTGTCGATGCTTTTTCAACGTATGTTATTCACCACTCTCGACTGCATTAAACCATATACAAAAGCTGGGATGCTTATGCATGCGTTCAAAGGCCGCATTTTCATTCGAGTGTCTGCTCCTCGTGCATTACAAATTAACGGCAAAGGAATAGTCTACCTTCTGCAGGTGAACGGAATCCAACAAATTTTTCCATTTTTTTTTTGGAGAACAGACTTGGGATATTCGTCTGGAATATTCGACTTTTCGAAAAATTTCGCACTCCGGGGCACGTCCCACTGAGTAAAATCTTTATTACCAAGTGAATTCACTAGAAGTCAATTCACTGGAAAATAAGAGCTTTATGGAAATCAGTTGCAATTGCAATTGCAATTGCAACTGCAACTTTCACTTTTTCTGTGGGAATCAAGTGAAAATTCATTTTTTATTGACTGAAAATTATGTGGAGTTTCGTACTGAACTCGAATTTTTATTGAAAATATGGGCAATTTGGATTCTTGTCTGCATGTTATACAGAAATTTGAAATTCCTTGGAGATTCAGTGGAAGATAAAATTTCATGATCCTCCCATAACTAGTCAACTACCCATGAAATTTCAATGTGTTTCTGACAGTGTGTGACGGGTAAATGACGTTTAAAAAACGATCAGTTACGCTAGCCATGAGTGTAATTCCTCTTTTTCACTAAACGCGAAAGATGATTCCGCACAAATAATTTACGCGGAGCAAAATCTTCAATAAAATTTACGTATCTTTTCCATAATTCCGAAGAAAAATGACTATTATCCTCTGCAGGATATTTTAATAAAAGTATCTTAATAAACAGAAATTGTTTTCCTGTTTGTACCCCGGATGGGCCCATGACCCCAATAATTTAAATACCCTGAATCCCAAAAAAAATAGAAAATGGAAGAATATGGATGGTTATTCCAGGAATGCTTGATAAATTTGAAGAAAAATTCATATGAGCAAGGCTAATACTTCTAATGACAACATCGGGTCTCCGTTAACGTGGGGCATGCATGAGGAATCATGTACAACTGAGGGCCTTGTGATGCCGCATACTGGCAAGGGCGATATACACGACAACAGGATTTTATGTATAAAAGCATGTACGCCTCCGTTTGGAGCCAAAGGAAATTTCTCGTGATCGCCATTACCCCCTTGAGATCGTTGGCGTGTAAGGCAATGTTGGAGGTTTACCATCGATTGTGAGTGTTCGAGTATTTAATATTGACATAAAGACACACGAGAGGCCCTCCAATACTCGTGAATAATGATATTCACCGTCTGGAATGAATCCTTGGAGGAAAGTATCCTGCGGTCCATTGTTATTACCCAGTCGCGAGTTGAACTTGAGGATTCAACAGGAACTTTCCACTTGGATGATGGGGCCTGAGGCTAACCACTGGGGATCACATCATGTTCAACGCGGGAAATCCATTTTTATCGGTCTATTCTACATCTTTTTCACCGGATGGAAGGAGCTAATACTGAAATAATTTGTAATTGGAGAGAATTCAAAATCATGCGTCGATGTCTAATCCATTTTCCATCATTGGTCAGGCAATTATTGTGGAGAGTTTGTGGAGAGTGGAAATAATCGAATGTGGGCACATCAAACTTTTAGAATGAACTCGAAACATTTTTTTACTGAATTTCAGCCAACAGTCATTTCACGTTGTGTCCGCCAGTTCTCGTCCGATCACTGGATGGGTGACCGCTTGGGAACACCACGTGCCATTGGCCCTTTCTTTTTTTTTAATTAGGGTGCGTCAAAATTTTGAAAATTCATAAAAATGTCAAAAATCTAGAAAATCGTGGAAATTTGAGAATCATCGCGGAAACTGATGAGGACTACAAATTATTGGACAAATTTCACCTAGGGGCGGGGGGAGGGGGGTAGAGCTACAGAAAGATACTGATGAAAATATTACTATCTCCTTTTAATTCCGAGATATTTCGAAAAACCTTTTCCTTCGTCGCCTCACTATTGAACTATCGAATGAAATTTCCATTTACGATTTTAATGTCAACAGTTGCAACAATACCATCACGGTAAAGTATCCGCGAGCCTAGAAAACGATAGATAAACGAGGTTCAGATCCACAAATGTAGAGAAAGCTATCAACGGAATAGAACACGATTTTTACGGTTTTATTCTTCACCCCTTTCCCCAATAAAACCAAGAAAACTTGATGCTAGTATTTACTTTGTGTTTATTGGAAAAATAATTTCTAACGGTTGAAAATGAGGAGTAAAATTTCCAGCTCTAGGAGATGAAACAATAATATGATTGTAAAGTGTCCGGAAACGTAGTAAACCGGGGCTCTGAGATGTACAAATGCCGAGGCTTTGAATAGAAATGAAAAATCCTAAGCACTTGAATATATCTTCAACGCGAGAAATGCATTTTTATGGGTTTATTCTTCATCTCTTCCTTCAAATGGGAAGAGTTTATGCTGTTATGTGTTTAAGCGTGGGTTTTCTCCAGGATAGCGGCTGGAAGTTAATTCACCAACTCGAGTACCCTGGGTTATTTCTATTTATGCCATGATATTATATCGTGTGACACGATGTCGGTGTTACTCGGGATTATCCACGCTCTCAGGCCTATTGCATGCATTGGATTTTTTTGTATTTGAGAGGAATAAAGGGAGAGCTTAAACCACCAATCACACGCACCTACGCGTAATATCGTATCTCAATACGTATTTTTTTCTTTCATTTTTTTACTTTTTTTTTTCACCCGAGAGATGTAGAGGTCGAGAGCCTCTCGAGTTATCGATTATGGAACACTCGGTGTTGAGTTATTACAACGCGTTTTGTTACAAAAGGAGAAAATACGTGCCTCAGTTACATATAGATGGGGAAAAATCGGCCGCCGTCAAAGGGACTTCAGAGGGTGTCGTAAAACTCGTCATTTGTTGATTATATTTCCGTCTCTTTCTTTCTCATGGGATTTTTCTTAGTGAAGCGAGTTGAATCTTCCCCCTGGGGTGTAAAAGATACCGACGAAATTCTCGAGAAAGATATTAAATGGGCAATTTCGTGGTGACTTGCTTTATTGGCATTTTTATTGACTATTTTATTGGATGAATTACGTTTTTTTTGGGGGTGAAATTATCGTTTGGGGGGAGAGGGTTTTTCAGAATCAAAGTGATCAATTTTCTCTAGGAATTCTAGGTGAATGGCTGTAGTTGGGGGACTAAGGGAGAATTTACGGCTGGAATTTTCAGTAACTTGAATTTTTTATGAATGATGAAGGGAGAAATTTCTGGGGAATTCTTGATTACGAATCTGGTAATTTCTTGAATTTTCTGGTAAAACGGTGAAATTATTGAAAATTCAAGTAATAATTTCCCTCAATTGGTAATCAATAAAAAATTCAAATAGTCATTAAATAATAATTTAA